AGCAAGTTCTTCTGCAATAAGCATTCACCGAACTGCGATTTCTCTAGTTTATTTTATTTTTTAAATATGGCTGGCTGTTTCTTCTTCTTTCTTTTTCATCTTTTGCTGTTCTGCGTTTTCTTCGGCTCTTCGTCATCTCAACTCTTTCCGACGTCCTTGCCTTTAATGAGAGTCGATCTCCTGCGTGGTGCATTTAAATCAACAGCCTCTGGTGTGTTTCCAGGCCCAGTTAGAGAACGAAAACAAGGGGAAGAGAAGGAGATCCGCAGATTATTCAGATTTTAGCCCCCCGCCCTCGGTGTTTGTCCTTCCCCCTCAGCCCTCCCCAACTCCTTCCACCTTGCCTCCCCACTTTGCAAATCATCTCATTTAGATTATCCCCACCGCAGTGAAGGCAGCTGCGCAGAAATGGATACTTTTCATGGGCGTCTCCCCCCGTCGCCCCCCTCCCTTAATCTCCCCCATGTTCCTGACACTAATACAGAGACTGATCTGAGCCCTCCTGCCTCTCCGTGTGACATTTCTCACTGCGCTCCTTAATGCAGGCGGGCTGCCTCTGTTGACGAGAAATAAGGATGACAAGCGTGGCCTATTTTCTTGCTCACGATAGTCTCTTCTTTTTTTCAGGGAGGGGGGAGATTCGCTCCGAACAGTGTTTACTAATGTGTCTCACAGGGCGGTTGACAAGGAGTTGACATTAAACTTTGATCGTGAATCTGGCATTTTGCTGTCAGAACTAAACTAGGATCCATTTAGTGTTTCAGACGGTAATAAGTGATGTCGGGCATCGCCCACGTGCACGCTGGATCTGTTGAAGACGGCACAAACTCACTTTTAGCCTTTCTGTGGCTTTGATGGGTGACGAGCATTAAAATCTGATAAAATAACAAAACATTTCAACTGAAAGTTTAACAAAATGTATTTGAGAAGTTGTCTCTGTGACGGCTCGTCTGAGGCACCGACAGACATGATGAAGCTTGTTCGTCTCAATGGGGTTATTCTGACGCGGTATCAGCAGTCAGTGTCTTACCTGCAGTAGACAAGTTACAGTGACCGCTTCAAGAGCTAATGACCATTTCCCACAGTGGCATTGGTGTCAGAAGCATTTGTAATGATCTTTTTTTTTTTGGGGGGGGGGGGGGGCGCATACTGGTCTGTGTGTGTGAAGGGGTCCTCCCCCAGAAAATGTCGAATAAAGTAGATGCCATTTCCTGCATTCTGGTATATTTTAACAGGTTGTTAAATGTCTACATAAGTAAACACTTGATTCAATAACTATTTTAGAGAGCAACAAGAAGTAGCCTGACCAACAGCTCTCCTTGTGTGAATAGAGCAAGCTCCACTTCTCACACATCCTACCCCACCCCCACATGTCGACAACTGCCAGAACTAACATAGCATTAAGCTAGTGGCGCACAATGCAGACATGTTAGCTAAGATGCTACAGATGTAGTGCTCCACTTTTCTCACACATCCTAACCCCCCACCCCCATCAACAACTGTCAGCACTAACGTGACGCTAAGCTAGCACGCAAAACAGACGTCTCCCCCTCCTCCCCCCGTGAGTGCCCTGCAAGGCAGACGACCGAAGAGAAACACTGCATGTGGTGGTGAGTTGTTGTAGGTGACCAGGAAAACACGGAGTGGACTTGTAGTGGTTTGAGTGTTCTCCTATGAATCAAGTGGAACGGATTTGTTCACAAAGAAATGGAAACCATTCTGGGTGAACGAATATTTCATACACAATGTGTGTGGGGGGTCTGAATGATATTTTTAAATGTGGGGGTGGGGACACGCCCCCCTCACATATTCATTCAACCTTTATTTATACAGGCCAGACACATAATTGTTGCCACACCCATGCACAGTGGGTTTAAGATGACGGATACTTTGAGCTTAACTCGAAACTTGAACGAAACAGATGTTTGTTGTCAGTATTTACTAAAGTGAAAATGTTTCTACACATGTGGAGTGGGGCTGGAATGATTCTTTGAGACGCAAAAGACAAATTAAAATAGAAAAACATGACTGCACGCTGCTTGGTGGTCACCGTGCTTCACCAGAACAAGTATTACTGAAACACGATGCGCCTACGTGTAAGGAAGAAAACGAACCAGGGGACATTTAAATTCAAATAAAATAAACGTTTGAGACTAAAGCAAAAGGAAAAATCCAAAATGCTTCAGTTTGTTTTGATGACGGTCGAACTTCCCACAGTATCACATCAACACCAGCGTTACAGACGGACTGCATTACTCACTGAAACTACACTTTTTGCGACGTATTTGGACTTTACAGTGAAACCAACAGGCAGCCGCAGCACGCTCAGTCAGTCGTGCATAAATCAGAGGACAGCGCTGGGAAAAAATCAAACAGGAAGCTGAACCAATGCTCACAGTCCAGTGTGTCTGGAACTGGATCTTCATGCACCAATTAGCAGCGTGCATTAGGAAGAAATTCTGTCCTGTTTTAACATTTTTTTATTATTTTTTAAAGTACAAGTTGTCGGATGGACTTTAATATGTGTTGCAAAACAAAAGGATGTTGGGCACTATTTATTTTGTTTGAAGAGCATCAATTCACATCAAATGTCATCTCAGAGCGCTGCACAAAGATCAACAAATCTGCCGCATCAAATCCAATTCAAACAGATGTAGAGTATACGGTCAGCTCCAACCAATTATAATCCAAAACTGTCAGATTCACTATGTTGCAAAATGCCAAATGTTATAATAGTTCAAAGTTCTGATGCATAATATGAACACGCTCCACCACAGATCAGCTGAAATCCTCAACAGTTATTAGATTCTTCGTCTGCCTGGTATACATGTTCTTACAACATCCCATAATGTTCTTGGTGTTATTTATTTTGACTGGATCATGGTTGCCGTTGGATTTCTGAACGAAGCACGACTGATCAGCGGAAGGATACGTTCAGTGCGCAGGCGTAGTTCGGTTAAGAAGAAAAAAAGTCCCAGCAAAAGGTGCAAACATTCTCAAAAAACACCAGATTCAAACTCCAAATACTTTTATTTCATATTTGTCAAGATAACGTGTGTTTAAATACCAACGGTAATTAATTTGTTTTAGACTTGAAGGTAAGACCAAAACGCTCCCGTGTGGCTGATTCACTAAAAAATGAACATGCCATCTCTAATGGCCTTTTTCTGGGCGCGTTGTCTTTATAGCCTTTGGAGAATAATAGACTTTTAAGCACTTGATTTACAGAAGGATGACAGCCACCAAATGCAATTATTCAGCTGTCTCTCATTCTCGGGCACTTGATAAATGCCACTAATGCCTAAATATAAATGGCACAATAAATATAAATATCACGCTGGCTCATGGGGTGTGTTTCTGTGCCAGTTTAAGTTTGAAAAGAGGGGAAACTGGGACGGGGAAAGTTGGATTCATCCTCCTTAATGCCTTCTGTCACTTCAATTGGATATTAACCCGCCGCTGTCCCCTAATTTAAGCGTCGTGTCGTTTCCCACGAGCACCGCCACATTCATGCAGCCGGTTTGTGTCACCGTGGGATAACCCTGCTGCGTCCCTGTGTGAGGCCGGAGAAAGAGGGTTGGAAATCAAACCGAGCTGCTCTTTTTAACTTTCCTCTCTGTTCCCTGCACAGAAAACCTACTTCCACTTCCTCTGCTCAGCCCTTTCATGCTTTTCCCCTCAGAATGAAGCATTTGTATGAATCATAAGCTCCCCATCCAGGCTCAGTTATGATGGCACCCCCCTGCTGCTTCTGTTAGCATAACTCCCACCTTCCATCTCCGTAGAGGTCATTATCTGATGCCCAACGTGGGCATCACTCAATGAAAACAATGTCATTCTCACAATGGTGCTGCCCTGGCTCATAAACCCCCACAATACTCTTTGCAGTCAACCTTAGATTGTTTGATTGGCGTTCACCGCGCTGTTTGCCAGAAGAACTGGCAGGAACATGGTGCTATTTGCATAAAACAGAAAGTGGCTCAGACCTGCTGCTGTTCTGCTCTCCAACAGTTGTACAGCACCCTCAAAGTAACGTTGCCATGTAATTCAGACAAAAAGACGCCTTGTGCAGCTCTGCACTTACACTCAACACTTTCTTTTACTCGCTTTAGAACTTTCCTTTCTCCTCTTTTAAGCCCAGCTTGAATCCTCTTGTCCAAATCCTGTACTATCTGAGTCCAGCTCATTTTTCCCCTCGTATTCCTGCAGAGAATCCTCTTAAAGTCGTTCTGGTAAGAGTTTCTCTCTGGACCTCTGTGTGCCGCTCATCAGTGTGACCTGGACTCAGTCCCAGGTTAACTGCAGGTGATCGGCCTGCCTAATGGTTTGGTCAGCTGAGCATGGGGGGATTAGACAATGAGTTGGAAGGCAAAGGGCAGTGGAGTTGGTACAACCGGGAGCAAAAAGAATAAAAATGGAAAAGCTGTGAATGTCAAATATTGTGGCACTTTCCATGTAGATTTGTGCTCATTTCACCCTCTTCAATTAACACCTTCACCTTTCTTTGCTGGGTCTGTGTCTGTCTGTGTCGCTTTGCTGGGCCGAACCCGTTAACTCTCGTGGCAAAGACAAAATGAGTCCCGAAGGAAAACTCATTTCTGCTGATATTATGAGCTAAAACGGTTCTTTTTTGTTTCAATCTAAAGCTGAAACATGAGTAGAGAGGCAAACTTGGCTCACACCAACGCAAAGTTGTAAACGCTTTACCCCCTTCCTCTGCCAAAAGAGGGGGTGGGGAGGACGGTGCAAAGCAAACTGGCAGCATCTGGACAGACAATAATTTAGAACAAGCCTCTGGGAGAGAGCGAATGAGTCCAATTCCGCCTGATCCCAGCAGTGACTGACTGAGGGATTACACTGAGGAGAACATTACTACACACACGTAAGAGGATTGTAACACATGTGCTATTACCGCTGTGCACAATACCTCCTCCAAAAACAATTCCTTGTTCTTTTCCTCCACTCACTCCCTCATTTCAACCCCTCCATCCCCTCTGCAGAAGCCTTGGAGGATCCGTCCAGCTCCGGCGTCGTGGCAGGCGCCGTCATCGGCTCCCTGCTGGCCCTCCTTTTGGTCGTGACTCTGGTCGCAGTCCTCCTGACTCGCAGCCGCCGGCAGCAGAGGCGTGGCTTCCCCAGCAGCGGGGACTCCCTTGCCACGGGAAGCAGCGGTGGCAGCAACGGCGCGGACTATGGCAACAAAGCCCGCCTGCTTTTCAGCGGCGCTGGGAATGGTGGCAAGAACGGAACGGGCGCCAACAATAATGGGCCCATCTACACATATCGGGAGGGCTGCGACGCCACAGGGACGCTAACGGAAAACCCCAACTTCCACCACCATCTTCACCACGCATCTACCAGCAACCCACCCACCGCCCACGACATCCTCCTCTGTGGAGACATGGATGAAGCAGAGAGGAGGAAGTTTGAGCTCAACGACAGCATGGAGGAAGAAGAGGAGCGATACGATCGGTTCGTAAACGTCGGGGGAGGCGTGAACATGTTGCCTCCGGCGTATCATCCCCACAGAGGTCACGGTGGCGAAGCGGAGATGGACGTGTACCTCGATGATGATATGGAGTCCCAGAGAGACGGCTCAGTTATTTCCCGAACTGCCATTTATGTCTGAAGATGGAACAGAGGGCTGGAAATAAGAGATGAGGTGGAGGACGGGGGGTGTTTGGAACAACCCCACCCAGCTCTAATATTAAAGTCACCTTCATCAGATCAACACCTGCTTACAGCTCAACCTGGTTAAAAAGTGCCCATCAGTACTTCCCTCTGCGCTCACGACTGTACGATAACACAAAAAGACGAGAAGACGTAAAAACGTGACGCGATGAAGTAAAAGTTGTGGTAGCATTTGTGCACTGTGGCTGAATATGTGACAAAGTTGTCAGTCTGTTTTGTCAAATACAACAAAAGAAGAAAAAAATCCTGCCAAAAGCGAACAAACGAGCAAATCTTGATGCGACGCCGCTTACTGCTACGTTCTTGTTGCTTCAGCTTCGCCGTGTGGTCATGTGACGTCGTACTTTATACCTTACCGGAACTTGAAATACGATCAGTGTCGCAAAATTATCTACACTTGAAACTCTGTGGGTCAACACAACAGCAAACCAATCCATCAACTTCTTCAGACAAACCTTGTAACGGGTTTGTTGTTGCAGGCGGCAGCTTGTGCCGCGAGCCCAGGCGTTCAGCCGAGTCTAAAAATTGAAAAGGCCAAATGTCTGATTCTGGGAACAGTTGGAGACTTTCTGTTAATCCCGGAGAAGTGACTCGTGTGTGGGTTTGCAGAGACGCCTGCTGCACCCTGTGACACCACCTGGTTTCCCGATGGGAGCTGCTGAAGCGACGGGCCGCCAAACGGAGCAACATAGACCGAACAGTGTGTGCTAATGTGTGGCTGGCTGTGGTGTTAATGATGTGCATCATCCTTATATTGGGCGGCGTCTCACGATAGCACTGTTGTTGTTGTTGTTGTTGTTGTAGATCTTGTTGTTGTTACGCTTGTGTAATGGTGTTGATCTTGCTAAGGAAAAGATTCACCGTGAGCCTTGGGGGGTTTCACGAAGTTTCATGTTGAGTCTGTAATGACTCATTTTAATGAATAAAAGAATTGTTTTTCTTTGTTTCCAACTCTACTTCTCCATGTTTTTTTTTTATTTCTCTGCACTTTCTCGCCTTTTCTTTCCATCCCATCTTGTGTGTTCCACATATCCATTTATATGATGGGTGTCTAAAACAAGTGCCGTTACGACTGTGTGCACAGAGTGGTGTTCCTTGTATTTATGGTCCTATCTGTGCTGCATTCAGTGAGGCAGCAGATCCACCTGCTTTGCTGGAAGCTGTTTTATTTCATGTACTGCTTCTGTTTCCGTGTTGAATGTTTAATTTTAGGCTGTTTTTCAGAGTTCGTGCGGTTCTAGAAAAGACGTGAAAGAATGGGAATGCACCTCTTTCTATTTTATTTATATGCTGCAAACATGGCAGAGCTTGGTCAATTTGAACAAAGTGCATGATCTCGTATGGAAGAAAATGATGAACTACAATCGACAGTGATGGTGGTGTCCCACTGCGACCGTCGCTCAAAACTCTGAGGAAAATGTGTACAACTTGCAGTCTCACTGAGCTCTGAGTGTTCACGACTGGTGATTTAGTTTTGCACGGACAGTTTTTGGAACAGATGAAGGTGAAAGTTAAGAGACTAAATAAAACACGAATAAAACGTTCTCATTCAGTCAACCCCATAAGTCGATTCATAAAAGTAGAATCATCATTAAATCCACAGAGCTTCAGATAAAAATACATTCTCTGGTGGGCCTTCTTACAAAGTGAGTTCACATGTGGGTCAAAGGTCAGTTTTTCATCAAGCATAGTTCCCAGATGTTTATATGGATGCACCACCTCAACAGTTTCACCATTAATGACCACAGGAGTGGCAACTATACATAACTATATATAACTATATATATATATATATATATATATATATATATATATATATATATAT